GCACTGAATAATTTCTTAATAGCTCCAACATTTATCAACAACTAATAATTACTTAGCATATAGGATGGCTGATATTTGTTTTAAATGTTTTGCTGGTATCTTTTTTTAATGTCCATCAAGTAGAATCATTAGCTTGAAAGAAGACCTAGCTTCCCTTTAGAATGGTAATAGCCATGCAGTGATAATTGAAAATGTTTATGTTCTTGTGTATCATGTTCATGTTTATATTTATGAAAATGTTTATTGTGATAAAATAGGTGAGTTAGCAATGGCATTTATAATCACCCCCCCAAAACAGCCTTTTATTGCTGACAAAATAATTCTGAGTTCACTGTTGCATATTAACTGACTTTTCCTTTTTTGATGGCTCAGAGGAGAGTTCTTTCACTGACTTAGTAAATTAGATGCCCAAGTAAAGATATATTTACTTTCTTTATTCCCAGAGTCTTTGTGAGTTTGGCAACTTCCATGCATGGTATTTTATTTATTCAGATGCTATCTTGATTGGCTGGTCTTGAAGTTCCTGGCATTAGAAAATACTGCTTCATTCATGTTATTTCATCTCTTTCTTTTTTCCCCCCTCTGGCCAATCACTCATTCAAGTGGAAAATGTGGAGAAAGTAAAGTCAATTTCAATTTTAATTGTTTTGTGAACTTTGGACCAACATCTGCTTGGAGACATATAGACAAAATAAGATATAATAATAGAGTATTTAAAATTACATCTTATTTTCTGAATGCGACCAGCTGTTATCAGGTGGAGCCAAATTCCTCATCTTAAAAACTGGTGGGACTGTGTGTGACTTATGCTGGGAAACTGGCCTGTGTGATTAAAGGTACTGTATACAGTAAAAGCTCTCCTAAGAAACTCCTTTCTAAAAAAGTTTTCTGAGAGATGAGTCCTTGTTATAATGTCTTTCGTAGCTGGGTGGTTAACTGAGTAGCTAAATGGTTTTCAGTTCGGAGCTGTTGGACCTCCTGTAACAATTTATCCACTCCATTTAAAATATCTTACAGCAAGCTTAAGGGCAAGGCTAGAGCTAGATTTGCCTAATTGGATGCCAAAAGTTATAGGTCTCCCTAAATTAAGAAGGAATCTACTCTTGCCCAGTTGTTTTTCTGTGGGAAAAATGATCCTTTACCAAGAAATCATCTTATTATTATCATTATTAATAACAATAATCAATAACATTTGCATTGCACATAGTAACATAACATTTGCATTGCACAAAGTAACATAACAGTAATTCAAATTCATATGGCACATTTTAATCAAATAAGTTAATACAGGTAAAGCAATCAAAATACCTTTAAAGTGCCATCTATCTGTCTATCTGTCTATCTATCTCTCTAGCTATTTATCTATCTGTGTGTTGAGCCCATATAAGCTCTGAGGGTATTTATCCTAACTCCTGCTCCCATTGAGGAGTCAGGTCCCTAGAGTTTGGCTATTATCTCTCCCTCAGGGTTTTAGGGGTACTCTTGAGTGGTCAGGGCCAGAGCCCCCATGGATATATGCTTTCTCTTCCCCTCCCTCCATCATCAATTGAGAATTTGCCAGCCTTGTCCCTTTTAGAAAAGAGTACTTATTTACTCAGGTGAGTAAGAGCAGTTGCTATACAACATCCCTCTAAAAATTTGTGACACCCTTTCCCTCAAGTACATATAGAGTCCAGGGGAAAGTAGGTTCAAGTTTAGAGAGCACATGTGGGAAGGAAAGGGATAACATAGCTCAGGTTTGCTAGAAGAAGTTCATCTTGGGCATGGTGTAGTTTCTTTGCAGGGCTCCTTTGTGGAGCCATGAATTTATGTCCATTCTGTCCTTGGCTCCCATTGCAGACACTGCCATTAATTGATCAGGATATACTGCTAGGATAATAATGGGAAGATGGGGCAAGCCAGCAACCTCCTGCCATAAGGTAGAAGGAAAAGACCTGACCAAAGCCTTTCCTTTTTTTCTTCTCCCTGTACTGAGGTGGTTCTTCCTCTGGGGCATGCTGAATGTCACACTTGCTCAAATTTCTGGATTTCTGGATTTCTTTGATTCTGGGTAATTCGATGCTTTTATACTTCACTCAGAGGGGAGGGATGAAATACTCTAGCCAATTGTAATAGACTTCCTGTCTGGCATCATTTTACTTTATCAAAAGGCTTTTCACACTAAGTCTAAGGCCTAGGACCAAAACTGATTCATTAGGCATCTTATCAGCATTTCACCATGGGCTAGAGTGACTTCATTAAATAAAATATAAATCTGCTCTACTCTTGCCACCTATTCATTATTATTAGTTTTCAGTTTTCAAGTTGATTTTCCCTCACAACAACCTTGTGAGGAGTTGGATTGTGCAAGTAGATGAAAAAACTGAGGCTGAGTGAGTAGGTGATTTGTCCCAAATAACAGTATGGTTTATGATAGAGTCCTCCAGTGGCAAAAGGCACTAGGTTTGGAATCAGAGGACTGGGGTTCATGGCAGCTTTGTTTCTTAATACATAGGTGATTTTGAGCAAATAACTTAACCTTTCTCTCGACTTCAGTTGCCTCATCCTCGAGGCGGTTAGCTGAATGGACTGCTGTGGCTAGTGATGGGTCCACCTTATTAAAAAAACTTCAAGTAGAGGCAAGTTGACCACTTTGTCAGGTATGTTATAATGGGAATTCCTTTTGGGTATGGGTTGGATTAGGTGGCTATTGAGGTCCCTTTCTGAATTCTCAAAATTTTGAGGTTCTAACTGACTTATCTCAAAGATGCTATCTCTAAATCCTTTGACTCTGACTTAGCCCAGTTCTCTTTCCACTATGCTATCCATATTTGTTATTTCATAAAAAATCTTAGTGTTCTTAGGATAGTGGTCATAAATTACCTTACTTTAGATTTCTTATATCATCTCTTTGAGTCTTATTTTAGAATTCGGCTTTTTTGTGGGAATGAGATGGCTGTGATGGGACGATGTATTTCTGAAACATCATCATTTAATATTAAACTCTGAAGTAACAGCTATAAAATTTGTTCGACATATTCTAATTTCAGTGAATAATCCCTAACCTCTTCTGTAATATAATTATTTAGACTATTTAGTATGTTAGAGTCCAACCAATAATGGAGTACTTAGAAAAAAGTTTAAATTTTTCCCAAACCAGTTAGAAAGCTGGCTGGACCAAGTAATAGGTGTGGAGAAATATGTTAATTTATGAAAAGACTAGTATTCTAAAAAAGGCAGTGCCTGAATGAAGCACAGATTCTCCAGAAATATACCTCAAATATTTAAGTATCAAATGATATAGTAAGTACATTAAATGAACATTTTAAGTCATTATGAATGACAATTTTGTGGTTACTAAAAAGGGATTTAATTTAGAAGAATATGTTTTCTTGTTTGTGAGAAAATTTTTTGACATGCCCTTTCCCTCCAGATATATCTACCTCACATAGAGCCCATTTATGTGATCATAAGGACATAATACTTAAGGTTGCTATGTAGACTTATCCTTTAAAATTTTTTCTCTTCCAGTAAAATAGCTTAGAAACTAAAGCATCTTCATTTCTATTTTCATTAAAATAACTGAAGCCTAGGTCACACTTCCTAAAGTTCACCAAAGGTTTGGAAGAAATGAGCCCTCTATTCCAGGCAACAAAAAGGACAAACCTTTTCTCCTTCTGTGACATACTTAAATGTCCTACATTATTGTTAAGTTCATCTTTGGGTTGTTCCAAATGCATCAAAGAGTGCAGAAGACTAAGCAGTAAGATATGGCCTGAATTTCTTTTCCTCAAATCTATATAATTCTGCAAACATTTCTTTCTTTTTCTGGACATTCAAGGGTCAGCTGGAAAGGGAGCTAGTTAATGTACATTACAAAGAAAAGTAATTGAAAGATATTTATTTAAATTCTCATGAGATGCCAGGTGCATTAAAGGAATAACATTTGTTCTTTAAAAATTCACTCAAAAAAAGAGATTTTTAGGTGTGCATACATATGTGAATATAAGCGAACATTTGGGCAGACAAGAAAACATTTGATTTTAAGTTAAAAAAGGTAAAAATCTGTGGCGGTGGCCAACTGTACTTAGATTAAAGCATTTTTAAGGTGTTGTAGCCATGTTAGAATTTTTTTTTTTGTAATGTTCTACTGATTCGAGAGTAAAAGACATACTTAGAAGGCAGTGAGGCTTGAGCTTTATGTGTGACTTCCTCTTCGACAAGTCTTCCTAACTCCACATCTTGGTCTTCACCGCCTTTTTTTTTTTAAATGTTGACATAAAATAAAGTTGCACAAGTAAGCTTTCGTGGTGGTTTTAAAATGAGAACTGGGAAGTCAAGTTCATAGCTCAGGAGCTCTTAACAGCTTAAAAAGTTATAACAAACCGGTTATTTCCTGTGTAACTAAGTTAAATTGTTTTCTGAAGGGAAAATTCTAAGGCTTAGGGGTAGCAATGAGATTGCCCATCTAAACCCCCAACCCCGCTCCGTCTTCTAGGTGGGGTGGGGTGGTGGTGGTGTGCTAAATGGGAAGTAGCAGCAGTCTGGCTGGTGCATCTGTATTTCTCAGGAGACTACTACGTTTCCTTAGTAAAGCAATGAACTTTTGAAGTGTAAAAAAAAATCAAGGGCAAGAGTGAGAGTGCAATAGCAGTAGAGTGGCCCTATATTTTTTTTTTGTTTTAAATAGATTAAAAATAAATGAATCGTCAGGTCTACACGTTTTCTAGGTGAGGCCTGAAGTTTTCAGGTGGCAGCGGCGGCGGGGGTGGGGGTGGGGGTGGGGGGGGAAGCCCCGCTATTTCCCTGGGAGAAGAGCCTAACATGAAGGCCAAAGGGAGAGGGCGAGTAGAGCAGGGCTGCTGGTGCGGGGCTGGGGCTGGTGCGGAGCAGGGGCTGGTGCGGAGCAGGGGCTGGTGCGGGGCTGGGGCTGGTGCGTGTGAGCGCAGGCAGTGTGTGCTGCTGGGGGTAGGCTCGCTCCTCGCTCGCTCCTCGCTCGCTCCTCTGGCTGGGAACTCCTGCTCCCGTCGCTCCCCCGCTCCCCCTGCCGCCGCCGCCGCCGCCTGCCAGCCCCTGATGTGATGGCGCAGAAACCCCGTTGACAAGGCACTGCTTTTTCATGACGGTGAGTTTCCCTTTGAGTGTATTATAATTTTGTGATAAAAATTTCAAGGAAAAAAAAAACACACAACCTCCTTCCTCTGCCTCTTTCCTTCGGGGAGGGGAAAGCGAGGGAGGGGGGTCTGGGGGAGGGGGGGCCGAGGAGGGGGGGGCTCCCTCTCCAGACAGACAGAAGAGAAAGAGGAGCAAATTAAACACCGAGTTGCCCAAACCAGGCTATTAGGTTTCAGCCCGGAGAGCTATTGGCTCAGACTGTGTTTTTTTGGGGGGGTGGGGGTGGGTGGATGTTTAATGGACTCGGGAAAGGGGGGAATAAACAGTTTATTCCTTCCCCGCTGTCTCTGCTAGGGGCCCCGCGGAGACAAAGTTCACAGTGTCTTCCGAGGGGTGCGGGCAGGCAGCCTGGGCGGCGGGCACGGCGGGCACGGGCTGGGGGCGGGCGTGGGGGGGCGAGCCTGGCGGGGGGTGGGGTGGGGGTTGATTTCTTTCTTTTTCCGCTGATGCAAATTTCTGGAGCGGGGCGAAGGCGAGCTGGGGGAGGGGGCCGGGGGAGCCTTTAATGACTCATTGATTGAGCTGGTTTAAAATTAGTGGTGTGTGTGTGTGTGTGCGCGCGTGTGTGTGCAGGGGGTGGGGGGGCCGGTGGTGGTGTTTTTTCGCGCCCCCCCCCGGCAGCCGGGCCGGGCCGGGGGGGGGGGGGGGGGGGGGGGGGGGGGGGGAGGGCGGCGGAGAAAGAAAAATAATCTTTCCCAATCTCCTCCCTCTTTTTTTTCCTCTTGTTCCTTCCCCCTCATCTCTTTCTCCCTCAGAAGCTCTTGGGCGTGAATCGCATTTTCTTTTTCCTCAGTATAATGGACCCCACGTCCTGGGAGGGAGGGCAGGAGGCAGACCCGAGGAGGGGGACGCCGCGCTCGGTGTCTCCGGGCAGCTGTTGCCCGCTCGGCCTGGGGCCGCCAGCCCTTCTCCGGCGCTCTGTTTCTCCCGCGGCTGGCCCGCCTGGGCCAGGCCGGGCTCTCCTCGGCTGGATTTCCGTCTTTCGGGGGAGCAGATCGGATACTCCTGCCCCCGGCCCGGCCGCGACTCGAGCTCCGGGACTCGCCTTTCTCGGCTAGGCCCTGGAGGGGACGGGGACTGGGACGGGGACCCGAGAGCCGGCCCGATCCTCAGCTTCCGCGGCCTCGGCGGCTGCTGGGGACCCGACTTTTTATTTTTAATGATCTTTAAAGAGAACGGGCAGGGGGCTCGCCTTGTCCGGCCGCAGACGTTGGGGGGGTTGAAGAGAAAGGCGGTTTGGGGTGCCCAGTAAGATGGCGGCGGCCTGGCTCGCCGCCAGGGTTTGTTGCGCAGTTTCTCCGTGAATGCTGCGCGCCCAAGGGCGCCATTTTCTCTCCTTGCCGGGGCGGGGCCCTCGCGGTGGGGTATCCCCCAAGGAGCTCGAGGGAAGGCAGCCTGGGGTGGAGGGCGAGTGAGACTCAGCCACTGGCAGGTGGATGGGGGCGGGGGGAAGCTGAGGCTTTTAAAGGTTCTGAAGTACCACTCCCCCAACCCCAGAAGGGAAATATTGGTGGTCTTCTTTTCTGGAGAAAGATGGGGGGATTCTTTAGCTGCTTCTCCACTCCCCACCCCGCCCTATACACTACTCCTGAAACTCTGGGACAGACAAGTTTCCTCAGCCTCGAGACTTGGCATGTCGTTTCTTCTCCCCCCCCCCCCCCATAAGATGCCATTTGGGGTTTTCTTTCATTCTCCCCGAAGAGCTACATCTGATTCCCAAGCCCATTAAAATAAATGGATTGTTGACGTGTTGGTCTGCCTGCCTGTAAATTCGTTAATTGGCGTCTTAAACCTCTGAGTTTATAGCAGAATGCTACTGGAGAAGGAAACAAACATCATCTCGCTATATCTATCTTCTAAGTAAAAATCCCGCCTTTTTTTTTTCTAAATCGTTGACATATTTTAATTTTTAATTTAATAGACTGTTACGGAAGAGATGAGTTAAGTATTTTGACTCTTCTTCCATGTTGGCTTTACCACCTTGATAGTAAATTCTGAGCAGTTTCTTAGGGTTGGTGGGTTTGTGTCATAGGTTTTCTGAGGAACTGGTTTTGTATTCAAACAAAGGGAGAGGAAAAACTGCCCAGACCTTTTGGGCCACACCTTTTTCAGCATTGTGGGGGTTTGGTATCAGATTATTTCTGGACAGTTCTTGGTTTACTGATGTAAATTCGACTGACTTTAATAAAAAGATAAAAGTATTTCACTATATTTATGTGTACTCACTTTTCCAAGGGTAAGAAAAGTGAATGGAGCTCTGTGCAGGGGTATGTGGAAAGTACTGACAAAGTTAGTAATAAGAGAGTCATGTGTATGTTACCTTGGGAGTGTATGGTAGTACTAAGTTAAGGAATTTCAAAACCTCAGCTCTCTTCATAGTCTTGCTTTCTCCATTTCCTGTCTACCTAAAAATAAGCTGAATCCTTAAAACTAGTCAGTGTCTTCCATTTGGATAGCTTATGTTCATTACTTAATCTGTAGAAATGGTAACATCTACCTAATTTAATGCATAAAAGTTACTTAGCATTATGTAATGGAGCTAAGCTTGGCCCTGGTTTTGTATACTATATAAACCACTGACATTTTGAGTTGAGAACTTAAAAGTTAAACCCCTTTTTCAATTTGGGATCCCAACAGTGTTATTACCCACTCCCATCTTTTGTTATCTCACACCTATATATAGAATTCTTGGGATGATCTCACAGAGTGCATTGCTTAAGGTATCAAATTTTAATTCTAGATTTCTTGTCAATAGAGTTTATGAATAGGTGCCAGGCCAAGACAATAGAGATTATCCAACGCCAAAAAATGTTTCTAAACCTTAGTCTTCTAGTTAAATGTAGTTAACTGCAAAAAAGCCAAAACAGTCCAAATTATGTCTCCAGTTAAAAATGGTTATAAAAACCTACATGATAATTATAGGAGAAAAGTGACTAGCACTGTTTCCTATTTAGCAAAGACTTGTTTGGCAGAAAATTGTTATAGAGGTGCCTTGTGGTGGGTAGACTTCTAAGCAAGAGGTTTAGTGAAGGTGAAAGTAAAGAGATTAATGAAAAGAAAATGTAGCAGATTAATAAGTTACTTGACTGTAGAATGGAGAGAAGTTTGTAGAAGAGAGAAAGGATACCAGGTAGCATAAAATCATCAACTTATTTGGGTAGTGACCATTACTTGTAATTAACTATGTTAATCTGTTTTGTTCAGTTGCTTTGTCAGTCATATCCAACTTTCCGTGACCCCATTTGGAGTTTTCTTGGCTAAGATAAGGTTTGCCATTTCCTTCTCCAGTTCATTTTATAGATGAGGAAACTGAGGCAAACAGGGTTGAGTGACTTGCTCAGGATCACATAGCTAGTAAGGGTCTGAGGCCAGATTTGAACTCAGGAAGATAAGCCTTTCTAATTTTAGGTTGGGCACTGGATCCACTGTGCCACCTACCTGCCCTCTTAGTCTGTACACATAGTTAATGTTTCCTATTGGGTGGGAACTTTTGAGGCCAAAATTAGTTTTTTGAGTTTGAGACCTTGTTTATCAAAAATTCTGTTAAATCTCAAAGACTGGGTTATCAAAATTACATCCATAATTGCATGTACTTTATCTCTCACCTTCATTCACAGTGGAAGTATTTTTTTACTGGAGGTAAATAGCTATTGTATGGGCAGTCTGATAATGGGCACAGAAGAAAGTGTGCTATTGATGAAATCCCTAGCTTTCGGGTTTTTTCTGTGTTTTTTAATTGCAAGGTAATATTTAAAATAGTTATTACTCATAGTTTCTTATTAAAACTTAAACCAAAAGCATAGGAAAATCTAAAATGTTGTATCAGAATATCCAAAAAAATGGCATTTTTCATTGTCAAGTACTTTAGAGGCATTTTGGCTCCTATTAAAATGCATCTTTGAATGAGAAACAAAAATAGAGTGTGTAGTCAACATTAGGTTATTAAAATAAATTGTTCTCCCACCAATTTCTCCTTTCCCAGCTACCAAGTTGACATTTTTAAAGCACAAGTTAGTCAATGTCACTTCTCTACTCACACTTTTAGGTTATGGCTCCTTATTCTCTTTAGGATAAAATACAACCTCCTCTGTCTTGCATTTAAAAGCCCTTCACAGTCTGGCTCCAACCTATCTTTCCTTGCTTGATTTCACATTAGTAGGTAAGCTGACCTACTTGTGATTTCTGGCATAAGACAGTCTATCACCTACCTATGTACTTTTGCACAAGCTATTCCCCTTGCTAGGAATGTACTTACTCCTTACCACAGCCTTTTAGACCCTCTATCTTCCTTCAAGACCCAACTCAAATACCACCTCCTTGTCTTGGGTGCAGCAACTTCTCAGAACTCTATAGCTTCCTTCAGCAGGTAGGTGTTGCAGTGAACAGCATGCTAGACCTGGAGTCAGGAAGACCTGAGTTCAAATTGAACTTCAAACACTTCTTTGCTGTTTATGAATGGAAAAAAAAAATCTATTAAGTTCTGTGTGTTAAGCACTGGGGATATAAATGGAAATGTAAGACAGCTCCTGCTCTCAAGGGGCTCCCATTCTATTGGGGGAGACAATACATATGGGAGGTTTCAGCTGCAAGTCAGATGGAAAGGTCCCATGGTCCGACTATGCAGGGGCAAAGCAGATTGTTAATACCTTTTCTTTGATGTCATTTACACTGATAAGGATCACTTTCTGATGTTGAACCATTTGACAATGCCCAGGACTTTAGGGAGGAAAAGTTTCTTTCCTGGCCTTTAGTAGTTGTGACTGCAGCACCTGAAGGAGTGATTGCCAGGTTGCATCTCCACAGGGGCTGGTTCCCGGTATGATGGCTGAGGGTGCTGGGCTAGAAGCATTCCTGTTTTCAAGACTGTTGGGTTCAGGGTCCTGGGCCCCTTCCATCCAGTAGTCAGGATGGTGGTCAAGGTGGTGGGTCAGACTTAGCTGGCACTTGCCT